TTTCACGGAATAACTTTCACTTGATCAAGTCATTTTAAATGTAAAAATTTTCCCCATAGAGAATTATTTGAATTCATATACCATCCACTACCGGGGGTATAAAGATAGTAACTGTCAGCACCACAGGGCCTGACGATCTATTTGTGGTTTGGTTGCTGATATCATTAAATGGACGTCTATAGGATGGAACGACTATGTACCAGTACAGGGTCTCATCCTTGCCAAAGTAATACCGGAGGTTCACATGATTTTGTAATACCTCAGTGCATACTTTATTGTATTCTTGGGAAAACATTACTATTACCAGTATATCATCATGTAGTAATAATTTAATAAGATGTAATGTAAATGAAAACTTTTTGATTGCGAGGTCAATAACCTCGAAACCATTCAACGTTGGAAATGTAGTTTTTCCCATATGAGGAGAAAATTGTTTTGAGAACAAATGCAGATACAACTTTCCAGAAAATACTAAATTCCATTTTTTTTTCGGTGGCAGAATTATAATAATATACGATACCATCCATGATGTCACAATGCTTTTAATCATTCCATTAAAGTGAGGAACACCATCAAGCACTTATGAAAATCAAAGCGTCAGATTGTTCAAACATAATGTCCCAGTAACACATGCACTTCAAGGAGGAGTCAATACACATTATCATACACAACAAATATTATGCAACCAACAATTTCAGAGAACTCATCGACAGCCACTTGTGACTATTGTGCACAATGCTTAGTTATTAAAGTAAACACAAAATTATAAGCAGATGAATCTACATTTTTCAAGTCACAATATCATTTCCATTAATAGTTTTTATCATTTTACTTCACCAAGACATTAGATGTGGCCATAATGATTGTGAGGCATGGTTGAAAGGTCATACTGGAGCCGTGTGATGATGCAGATTATTCATCTGTGACGCAAGTGTCAATGCACGTCAATTAAACTAAGACGGAAATGTCTTGTCCTTCAATAGGTGATTTTCCATTCAGCTTGAGATCTTGCATAATACGTGAAAGGCACGGACCAAATGTCTGTCACAAGATCAAACGATTTGATTCAATGTTTCCTTCTTTATAGCTCAATATTGTAATGGCGATCCTTGAGAGGGGAATATTGCAAGAAATACCGATACTTCAATGAAATGAATCATCATAAAATGTTTATAGCATATTATTAAGCATAGAAATACCCAAAAATATTTTTGCATTTGATGAACCTCTGGATGTTCGGAAACCACTACAATGCTATGACCTTTGTTTGTCCTGTTTTTTCGTTTGATTTCACGCATAATGTGTAATCTCGCAGACAACAGAAAATGGTCTATTGACCTGTGACCCTACTCTAATTGACCTATGATCCTAGTTGTATTGTACATCAATTGACCTATGACCCTAGTTGTATTGTACATCAATTGACCTATGACCTAGTTTTATTGTACATTAATTGACCTACGACCCTAGTTTTATTGTACATCAAATGACCTGTCACCTTAGTGTTACTGTTCAATTGACCCGAAACCAAATTGTCAATGCTCTTTAGTATATTCTATCCTTATCAAGGCGTAATCTGAACTAGATCATAAAACAGCCATTTACTGTCACTGCCATATTGTTCCAAACAAAAAGCAGCAACAAAGCCATACATTTTGTTTGGATAACTTTGCAATTTATTTTATAGAAATTTATATGATTCATTGAAATAAATTGGAAGGCAATCGTATCATAATCTTCAATTTATATTCAGTGTCCGACTCTTCCTATTATTAGTTTGACGTCTACTGCTGAATTTGGTTTGACCCAACTTCTTATATCGTGATGATCTCCAGGCGCACACAGCAAACCAGTCAGCAACTTAGCTGGCAATGATGTAGTTTTGGTGTTCAGAAAAATATGGTAACAAGAATGAAATAATTTGAAAGATTTGCAATGCCATTTGGCGTTGCATGTTTGTGTTACACAAGTCTATGAGAGGAACCATAGCACTTCTGTGTCAATAAAAATCTTAATGTCTGAAAATACCATAACAAAGACTAAAGACAGACACAAGAAGAGCTATGGACCCACAGATAATTTCACTCAAGTCCATAAGGAAGTCGTGGTGAATTTAGTGAAATTTCGCCTAGCGAACATCCTTCTATTACCGGGTAATATGATACTGTAACAATTTTGCATTCTACATAACTATTTATACATTAGGGTTTCTGGACTCCGTAAGTATCACGCAGAAGTCTTTTGATGTGCTTGGCCATGTCCTTGTCGTCCTTCTTTGTGATACGATCTTTATTATCCAACCAATTCCTTTATATCTGTTACAGCAGGAATATTAAACCCGCTTTTGTCACCTACATAATGACAGAATTCTAATTATTTATACATTAGTGTTTCTGGACTCTGGTAAAACAGCATGTAAGCATCACACAGAAGTCTTCTGATGTGTTCAGGCATGTCCTTCTCATCTGTCTTCGTAATACGATCTTTATTACCCAACCAATTCACCAATTCTTTTATATGTGTTACTGCAGGAATATTAAACCCGCTTTCTTCACCTAAATAACGACAGAATTAGGGATATTATCAAAATAAATAACTGATGATAAATCAACAAACAAACAAGAACAGAATAGTGTGTACACTGAGTTTGTCTGACAAGTGTAATGCACAATTCATCTACACTCATCTTAGAGGAGGGCAGCACTTCCTAATTTTGCATGTTTCATAAGATTCACCTTGCAAGGCATCAACCTCAGGTAACACATACAGATTACGCAACAAGTAATTGCATTATATAACCCTTGTGAGTTATCAAGTTTAAGAAAAATATGTAGTTAAACCATAAACGGTAAGGGCATGTCAGAGATATGGCTTTGGAACAATATTTTGATAAAACAAAATGGTCACCAGTCAGCCATTTTGAATTTGATTTGAAAAAACAAAATGACATGCATTCCATTATGTTCAATGTATGCATCAAGTTTGAATAAAATATGTTAATGCACGACAGAAATGCGGTTCTAGATTATAGAAATGTTTGATTTTGATGCATTAGAAATGTAAAACAAATGTATGTGCATATGCGTGACGTGAAATATGTGTGAAAATATGTGAATATGATTGGTCAATGAATGTCAGAAATATGGTATAGAATGCACAGATGAAGCACATTTAATATTTTTATAAGTTACACACCTTGCCTATCTGACATACTATCAAAGAAGCACCATGGAGCCTCGTCACCAGTACCACATTTAACAAAGGCTACATAATGGCTTGTTTCAATGCATACAACTGCAAACAGCTCCATGCACTCCCTTGTTATCATCACATCAGGATTCTCTTTATAAAACTCAACAAAACTTTCCATAATTTTCAATTCTTTGTAATTATGCTTTTCTCGCTTTGGATGTTGGTGGGTCTGAAAAAAAATTGACATATTTCAGATGATTATGTAACAACATTTAAT